TCCCTCTCCAAGTCCCCCAACCAAACACAGCATTAGGGGTTCATTACCAACGGCATGGTGTCTCTCTCATGTCCAAAACAGCTCTTTGTTTGATACTTCTTTCCATTAGTGGGCTTAAAGCTCATTATTGGACTTAATTGACTAATGAATGGATGGTAATTAAAAATGGAGTAATAAAATTGAGACAAAGAGAGATACAAGATAATAAAGCAATTTGGTGTTCAATCGGACGTTAATTGAACACATGGAAACTTGGGTCATTTCATACTTCCTAGTGACGAAATGGTTCAAGTTTCCAAGGTCAACCACTTTCCTTGATCAATCTATGATAGGGAGGAGGTTTTGTTGGTCTTTTCTTACCATTTATTGAGATTGCATCCCTTGGTTCATAAGTCATCATGCAATGAAATTGCGCTCATTGATGGCTTGTGAGTCGAGCCAACTCCTCATTTGAGCTGTTTGATGATAAGGAGAGGTAGGGTGGACAAACATTTCTTGAGAATACTCTGTTTGTGCTCTACATGCTTTCTGTTGCAACAAAAGGAACCAAGCATTAGTGGCTGATAGGCCACTTTTACTGGGCGACAGGCTACTTTTGGTGGCCGGCCGGCCGGCCATCACTTCTGACCTACCGGCCACTTTTATCAAACCAAGCAGTACCTTTTTTGGCATAGAATAGAGCAGAGGCTGAGGTAAGAAAAAAAAAAAGTGCAATTTTCTAATTGTGCAACAGAGGCATTCTGACAGCAAAATAGGGAACTTTTTCGGGTGGAAATCCGCGTGCATGCATGAGCATTCCTCACTTCCTGGGGCTGATTAGTTAGATTAGTTACTTACTTAACTTAGCTATTTCTTTTGGTTGTATTCGTATTGTTAATTTGTGTAATTAATTAGTTAGTTCCAATTTGTAATAATTAGCTAGAATAGTTAATTAATTGTGGCGTTGTAATAATTAGCAGGCATAGTTAGTTTATTTAATTTGATTTGTAATAGTTAGTTAATTCGTAGTAATTAGTTAGCTAGTTAGTTTATTCGCACCCTCCTGTGGGAGGGCACAATCTAATAATGTGCATGTCTTCCAACCCCATGTCTTTCTCCCTTTTATTTACCTGCTTATGATGGTAGAATAGAGCATCATGTTTACTTAGTATTTCTCATGGTTTGCATTCAGTTGTCTTGCATGCATTAGGCTTGGCACATCATTCTAACTCACATTTGCTATTTATTGCTTACTTGAGTACGTGCTTGAACTGCATGCTATCAAGTTGACTCACATGCCATGTTTAGGAGCTGAGCCTATTAATTGCATCTTGTATATGTTGCATTAGTCATAGTGCATTAGTTAGGATCATGCATTTTTTCTAACTATTTTATTTTCTTTGGCTTGCCTTGGAGTACCAGGTGAGCATTTTTTGCTTTAGCATATTGTATGCGTGTGAGTGTTGCCATACCAAGCATATTACCATGAGGCTACGTGCTTAAATGATATATCTATTTGGATGCCTGTAGATGAAGGCTAATTGCCTAATTTGGGATAATTTGATGAATGTACCTATGATATCGCTTTTCCAAGTGGTACATAATCAAAACACTTTTTCAAAACAAACATGAAATCAAAATATTCCAACTTTTGCAAATTAGTCTATACTTGTGTGTGTGTCACATAGTAAACTTAGCCTAATAACCGGAACAAGAGCATATAACGTAAATAAGAATCACATCATGATTAGTAGAGGCCGATATTTGATCAGGCGAGCGGGGGTGCTCAATTCGTGACCTTTCCCTCTCGTACCTAAGTTCCCGAGCCGAGACACTTTGGCAATGACGGACACATGGCCTTTGGCCCGAGTCTCGAGTTTCCTAAATTTTTCAAAAATATTTAGGTGAGGACTTTGTATCTAGCAAAGCAGTCCATTTTTGACATTTTGATTCAAAATCGACTTTCCAAAATAATTGCCGGATTTGGACTCTTTTGTGTTTATCTATTTCGCATTACACTTGTGGAATCAGATTCAGAACCATGAGAGTTCGAACTGTATGGTTTGTCGTATCCGAAAGGAGCACGAAATGTCAAGCTACACACATTGGCCTTCCCTGGATGATAATGCAACTCAAAGTCATAATCTTCAATGAACTCTATCCACATTCTCTGCCTCAAATTCAAATCTTTCTGCGAGAACATATATTTTAGACTCTTATGATCTGAAAGCACTTCAAAACTCTCACCGTATAGATAATGCCTCAAGATTTTTAAGGCGAAAATCACCGTTGCTAACTCTAGGTCAAGTGTAGGGTAGTTCTTCTCATAAATTTTCAATTGTCATGGGACGTGTGGTGCTGATCTTATGGCTCTTTTTAGTGCTACTTATCAATTCAAGCTACATTGTTAACTTGACATCAATCCTCACAGTGCAACAGTTGACATCAAATATTGAAGGGATTGACAGCTTGATCTTAAGTACAGATGCAATTAGAGTTCAAGATGGATCATTTGCATATGTTGATGCCCTCCACAAAGGTCCAAAACTAGGTGGTGCAACTGCAATTGTTGATGAGCTTCCTTACATTGAGCTTTTATTATACGAGACCAGTTGCAAATTTAGAACTATGGGACAAGAATTTACTAAAAGCGGATGGGGATTTGCAAGTATTTTCTTAGTATAATCCTAAAGAAGTAATTATTGCTGCAATATATGGAATGGCTAAGCCAAACTTCAATCAAATAAGACTCTAAGGTGACAAGTTAATATCAATAGAAAGCATGACATGTGAGCTGTTACCAAAATATATCCTTGTTGCCTAAATTTGATATCTATTTTATATCAGACTTGAGTTTTGGCCAAATCTTATATGCTTCTAGGCTCTAGCATTTATGTTATTTTTATTTTTTATTTTTTTATTTATCAAATAGTGCTTATGTTATTCCAATCACTATGATTTGATTTCCAAGAAGAAAGTAAGATTCTGTGGGTTGTTGCTAATATTGTATAAACATGTCTATGTGTAGTGAGAACTTTTCTTGACAAAGTTATCTTTAGCTTATGTTTGGATTAAGGATTTAAGTGAGAATTTTAGGATAGAAAAGAAAGGGAAATAAAAATGAACTTTTATTTCATTCACTTTTCATTTTCTTTTTCTTTTCTTTTTCTTTTTTTGTCCTGCACAAATCCTTGATCCAAATACACAGCCTTAATCTACCATGTAACTTGATACATAGCATAAAGGTCCAACATGATTATGATGTTTAATTTCCTGACTCAAGCATTTCATAAAGACTCTCCTCCTGTGATGGACTTGTCAACTAATATTCTATGACTTTCAGAGAATGGTGATCTCCAAAGAATCCATGATAGCTGGATATCGCTCAATAGGTGCTCTATGTAAGCCAACCAAGTCGATGAAAACATTCTGCCTCTCACTAGCTTTAGAGGCCTATTCCTTATTTGTGGCACAACATGCTTCCATGCAGTTAAAATATTTTTCTGTAAGTTGTGCCAGCAGTATCGCAGGTACACCTCGGAGGATGAGGAACAAGATATTGATGAGCCTGAATCTGCTAGACCTAAAAGCACATCACATATGACTAGCTTCG